TTTACCTTAATTAACGTTAGTAGTTGCAGATGCTTGCTAATAGTTCCAATCATAAGTGCATGGAATTCCAAGTAAGGGATGACATGCTAGCAGTGGCCTCTCCCACATAATACTTGCTATCGGTCTAGTAAAGTAGTCAATTGCTTAGGGGCAATTTCACAACTCCTACCACCACTTTTCCACACTCGCTATATTTACTTTATTGTTTCTTTATCTAAACAGCCCATACTTTTTATTTACGTGTTCTTTATTATCTTGCAAACCTATCCCACAACACCTACAAAGTACTTCTAGCTTCATACTTGTTCTAGGTAAAGCGAACGTCAAGCGTACGTAGAGTTGTATCGGTGGTCGATAGAACTTGAGGGAAAATTTGTTCTGCCTTTAGCTCCTCGTTGGGTTCGACACTCTTACTTATCGAAAACTGTTGCGATCCCCTATACTTGTGGGTTATCAGTACCCGAAAGCCAAATACTTCTTGTCAATGAATGTAATCTGTAAGTACATTTATAACTTTATATAGGTTCTAAGTGCTTTCTCTCATATAAGCATTTGAGCTAAAGAGCGCCATGGTGTTGATATGGTCATCCTCATATATACCCTTGGATTATAGCCCTTTAGTTCATGATGTGTGAACATCTCCTATGCTAAAACCACTCTCCTCATAGATAATTTCACATGCTTGATTAACTTCATTCTTACGTACTATTCCAATAGTCATGTCGGCATCCTTGCACCCCCTAAGCATCAATGATCCATGTGTCTTTGCCATATATGTGCTACAGCAAAACACAACGCATGTGAAGCTGACACATCAAGAACTTCAGATTCGCCACACGCACTGACAGAAAAAAGGGAAATTATAGATCAACCCTGAATAGAAAAGCGAAAGTATTGGTAAATATATGGATAAAAAGATTAGTGTGTTAGTGTTGCCATTGTAACATGGTCTCCACGCATCAACGGATGGTAGTACATGCATTGATGTGTTTGTATCATCGAGACTACAGATTAAAAACCTCTAACGTTAGGTTAGCATTAAGTTGATGGTGACGCTGCCTTGCCTACATGGATCACCGATGGCAATGTATGGCTCATAGGTTCGGTGCCAGCGGCATGGAGTCCGATTTCTTTATAGTCCAGGTGATACAGGACTAGTGTAATGTATCTAAGTTAAACTTGAAATCACACACGTGCTTCATATGGAACCCACTTGAACGCCATCCCTAGATAAGTTGTATGATTTGAGTTCATTCTTACAGGGTTCAATGTTCTTGAACTCCGGTAGACATTGGAAGTCGAGACTCCATATGTGGTATGAAGAGCACCACAAGGAAGATGATCAGCATCAGCATATCAAGAACATGGAACCCACTTGAAAGCCATCCCTAGATAAGTTGTATGATTTGAGCTCATTGCTTCATGCGTCTGGATTGGAAGGTGACCGCGCAGTCAGTTGGGAATATCCACCCTAAACGATTTCGCTTAGCGCAATGACCTGCAACAGCATATGCCCAACCTAAGTTCTCCCCCCACCCAGTCTGCCTCGACCTACTTCGTCGATCCTCTTGCCCCCTATGGTGAGATGCAACCGCAACAACATCTTCTGGAAATTCAAGTGGCTCACAATGCCATGGTCCTTGGTTTTTCTCAGATTACAGTGACCAGCGGCCGCCTCTTGCTCACAACGCCATGGTCCATAGTTTTTCTCAGGTTGCAAGGATTATAAGGGTGGATCCGCACCATTATAACTCAGTACCATCAGATTAAGGACCTATAATTTCTAATTATTGTGGGAATTTCTAGGTACTCCATAATTAGTATCGGTAATTTCGAATTAACATGGGAATTTCTAGGGAGTCCATAATTAGTGAATCTTTGAAAGATATATTTTGAAAGATAGATATTGTGATTAGTTCTTTTCTTTACTATGTACCATCCTTCTATTTTTTTGATAGATAGGTGGGTAATTTTATCCAATGGTTGTGATTAGCTAGTTTGTTAAATTAAGGGCCAACTGTTTCTAATTCTTGTGAGATTTTGTAGCCTAATTCTCTTTTTCTGGTTAGTCTTTCAATTACTTTTAATATAAAATAGATAGATGCTAAGGATCCTTATTGTAGATAAGGTGAACCTAATTTATATTGATGTAATCTCCTCTCCAGGCTTCACTGGCGAGCCTGTGGATTCGCCTCCCCTCTGCCTGCCGCTCCGGCGGCCGGTGGCTGCCGGGGAGGGAAATCCCGGTGTTTCTGCTCCGGTTAGTAGTTTAGGTTAGGGGTTTTTAGTCCTCACAGGTGCAGCACTCAGGCGGATGGCGGTGCTTTCTTCTTCCTGTTTGTCTTCCGGGTTCTAATCCTTCTCAAGTTCGTTCATCAGGACATAGTCGGCGAAGTTGTGACGTCGATTCCTGGCATCTCCTTTGGACGGTGAGGTTAGGGTTTATCGTCATGCGGTAAGATTTGGTGTCAGGTGTTTCAGATCTATTCAGGGGTACAACGACGATGACTGCGGTTCCAGGGCGTTGGTCCTTAGGGCCGCGTGCACGAAGACTTCCCGGCTGTCACCGATAAGGTCAAGCCGGCTCTGGTGGGGGAGCGGCGACGGCGGCGTGTCGGCGGCTCATTCTGACGGCGGTAGTGGTCGCTCGGTGGTCTCGAAATCTCGATGTGATTTTTATTATGTTTGAGGTGCTTTGTACTTCCGGTGAACTTTGATAATAGATTTGGATCATTCTCGCAACAAACATTTAAATATGGTTTTATATGTTTATTTTCATAGGTGTAACTAATTCAATTTCATGTATGGTGATTGCATAAATTTCATCTCTTGATTCTTCGTAGAACTAGTACATAAACCCCTTATAGGATTTTGCTAATAGCAGCGTATCATGAAACTGAACGCGGCAGCTATTCTTTCAAATTATCGGCAGCGTTCAGTGTTTGATAAAAGCAACTACCTGCGAAGACTACTAGCAGCGTTTGATAAAAGCAACTTCCAGTAAACGCTACAAACGCTACTAGTGTGGTGTATCATGCTAGTACCAACCATAAAGAACTAGCAGTGTGCAGCCCCCAGGATCATGGTAGGTAGTTGCACTACTGGCAGCGTTCAGTCTAGTCGAGGATGCTGCTAAGTTTATTATATATGTGTAAAGATATGTGTGTAATTTATGTTTTACATTTAAAAACCCTTGTTATGCATTAAGTTGTTGTGTTTTTTATTGTACACACGAAAACAATCTGTTCATACAAGTTGAAAAGCAAAAGAAAAAACAACAATTAATGATTGAACTCCTAAAATACATAAAGCATACTAGCAGCGGTTGCCTAGGCAGAAACGTGGCCAGTGCACGTTCTAGCAGGTTTAGCTTCCAGAAAATGCTGCAAATGTATGTATTATACTTATTATATTGTAAGTGTCATTTTTATGTAAGAGCAACCTCAAATAAATCCAAAGTTGGATATGTAAATGTTAAATGCATGGTGCATATTACGTCTATAGAATTTGTTTATTGTCATATGATCAACATTGCCAACATCAATCTCTATTGTCAACTAAACCTGCCGGACAACGACATTTCAATTCCGTTGGCTGCCCTTCTAAACTTCCATAAAATTCTTGGTGTTTATCAAATATTATGTTAATAAACGGTTAAGTATATACTTAAACTATGTGTTGATATAAATTGGAAGGCAAAAGCCAAATAGTTGAGCTTAAATTCCAAAAATGTCAAAATCGTACCAGCAATGTTTCCTAGCTGACAAACGCAGCTAGACTCCTCATTAGTAGCGTTTCTGCTAGACTATACCCTGCTAAACTAATTATTGTACTTATTATATTATAAGTGGCCTTTTTATTGAAGAGCAGCCTCAAATAAATCTATAATTGGATATGTAAATGTTAAATGGTGCATATTATGTCTATAGAATTAGTTGTTGTCATATGATGGTCAACACTTCTTGCCAACATCGCGATCTCATTCATGTGTGTTGCGCTAAAGTTTAACTTGTCATGTCAAACTATGAGATGATACAAAGAAATGATGATCAAGTCTCAAGAGCTATCTATCTCTTTGTTTGCAAACATAATTTCATATAATCATTTTCATCTTCTTTACATGCCTAGATCAGAACGAGCAAAATATGAAGAGGAATAATGTCAAGCCTGGATTTAATACATGTGCAAAAGAGTAAAATTTTGTCTCTCGGTAGTTATTCATTGCATGTACAAATAAACCCTAGTTCATTTTCTTTCAGAAAAAACCCCTAGTTATTGTTTGTATTGTGCTCTTTTTAATTAGATGGGCACTAACCTGTTGGGCATAACTTTCATGGGCTGTAGAAGCTATTGGCCTGAGAAACAAAGCCCACACGAAAAGCAGAGAGGGAGAGCTCGTCGTCTCGCGTGACCGGGCCCAGCTCGACCCCCACCCAGATCCGGGCATCTTCTCCGGCCGGCCGGGATCTCCCGCCGTCGTGCAACGGCCGAGTGGCCTCCCGGGCTAGGACCAGTCTGTCTTTGCGCCGGTGACGGGTGAGTTCAGAGTTGTAGCGCCGGCGACCGGAGTGGAGGAGGGAGGCGGGGTTTTGCGTCCAGACCCCCCCACGACTGCGACGCCGGATAGCGGACGCTGGCGGCTCGTCTGACGACGCTCCGATAAGAGGGCAGGTGCACCACACCTGAAGCTCTCTTGTAGTCCGACATTCACATCGCCGATTTACTAGGATTTTCAACTCATCACTAATTCTGTATTGTATCATATCATGAATAGGCCTGCCAGGATAGTGGTTGTCATCGCCGTTGCATATATGAGCATTTGTTGCATTGATGATTAGTTAAGCTCCACTGGCCTCTTAAAATCTATGTCTGCCCGTGCATCTAGATACGCCCTGCTCGCATATTTTCCATCTCGATAGCTCATTAATTAACCTGTTCCACCAATCCATTGTTTGATTAGGTTGATCGGTTGAAAAATCGGGGGTTCAACTAAAGCCAATATGCCTCATGCCGAGGGTGCTTGTGCAATGCCCGCCGGTGATGGTGAAGTGGAGGCAGGGTTCGCCAAGCTGCAGGGTGAGGATTTTGAGTACTACATGCAGGCCTACTCTATCATGCTGGGCCGCAACAGCAAGAAATCGACGGTGGATGTCGATCTCTCCAGCCTTGGTGGGGGGATGAACATTTCGCGCCACCACGCGCGGATATTCTATGACTTCCAGCGCCGCCGTTTCGCGCTCGATGTCATCGGCAAGAATGGCTGCCATGTTGAGGGCGTCCTGCATCTCCCTGGGAATTCTCCTCTTAAGCTTGACTCGCAGGACCTCCTTCAGATTGGGGACAAGCGGTTTTACTTCCTCCTGCCCACGAGGTCTATCTTTGCGTCGCTTGCCGCTACTCAACAAGCCCCTGTTCTTCCCTCACAGATCCCGCCGCCATCGTATGTGCAGCCAGGGCACCCTCGTGTGTCCGATTTCCATGACCGCCTCCCTGAAGGTGATTATGGCTGGGACAGTGATGACGTTGGGAATGGTGTCGGTGCAAGTGGAATGAAGGGCAAGCTGAAGATAACCAAGAAGTCTCCCGGAGATTTGGACGTCTACGGTGGGCACAGAATCAATGTTGAACCAATAGGAATAGTCGGCGAAGGTGATACATAATCCTTGCTCTGCATCTTTACTGTGTATACTTTCCCTTCCTAGTAGTCTTGTTTCTCTTCTGAAACATATGTAGAGCTGATGATGATTTTGCTTGTTCAGTCACTCAATCTGGCTGTACGCGTTATTTGCATGTTGCAACTCATGGCTACAAAGTAAGATAATGTTGATATTGCAATATTACATGTTATAGAGATAGATATATGCACATTATAACTCAGATGTAGTATTGCGGGAATATCTCTTAAGCAACTCTCATCATATGTTTCCTGCAACTGCACATATATTATTAGTTGCTATTGCAAGTGGTGTTATGTAAGAACATTATGCTTTATATCTGAATTAGCACATCATGATGTGTGAACATAACTGCATCTCTTATGTTTTGCCGAAAAAGGGTTTCCCCCCGCTTTGTATACAAAACAACCAACCGGATCATACAGGGATAGGTGCTGGGGCGGAAGCAGCATAGTCACGCCCAAAAGAAACAACAGAAAAAGAGCAAAAGAAACAAATGCCGACAACGGCGGATCAACAAAAACGAAGAAGCCTCGCGATCGCTAGGCCCACCGGTCTAATCCACTAGGCTCCAAGACTCCGAAGCGCCGGCACCAATCAACACCTCCAAGAAGGATCGCGACGATGACGACGCTGCTGCCAAGGGTTTCCCCCGGTACACGACGAGGCGATAGGAAGAGTAGCCCCCGACGCCCTCCCGGAAGGTCAGGCGGCACCCACAGGCGCCACCGCGCCGGGGTCGGCCACGCCGACAGGGGTTTCCCCCGATCCCAACCCGCACCTTGGGCGCTCCGGATCCCGCCACCAAACCAACCACCACCCTACGCCAACGCAGTCATGAGGCCTCCACGCCGTCTCACCACGGCACCGCGAAGTGAGAACAACACGACGAGGAATCAGAGCCGGGACTAGGGCATCAGCACCATCGGCACGCGGGAGGGCCCCACCTCCACCGTCAGCGACAGTAGCCGTCCGGACGCAATAGCAGGAGCACACCAGGCCCGTAGGCCCACAGGCCCGGCCGAGCCCTCGTGGGCCCGTAAAGCTCCCGCCTTCGCGCTGCTGCCGGCACGCCATCGACGTCGACGCCCCAAGTCCGAGCCGCTCCTCCTCCTCACCGCGCCGCAGACAACGAGACCATGCCGGGGGGGGCGGCCCCCAGGGGCCCAGATGGGCCCGACGTGCCCGGATCTGGGCCGGGGGCGCGTCGACGGCCACCCGGCACCACCACGCCGCCCCGCCGCCAAGGAGCGGCGCCGTCACCACGCCGGCCGCCGGCCGCCACCGCAGGGCCGCCGGACC